CCCCAAAACCCCAAAACCCCAAAACCCCATGATCCTAATTGAATTATTTTCTTAGTAATAATCAATAATTATACAATATTTTCATGGAGTTACAAAAGAATTAGGATTAGTAGTTGTAATCTTTATAGAATTAGAGACCATTGTCAATTGAGAGATTAAAAGATGTTTTGAATAGAAATTATCTAGGCACTGCAAATCAATTCAAAAGCTCTTATTAAAGTACTCATTCACAAATTTTAATTATCTTGCTTTTAGACGAAGAAGAAAATAATAAACAGTTAGATTAAAGTCAAAAAAAGCAGCAACTTAAGACCTAAACAATTTTTGATAAGCAAGCGTTTTAACATTAATAGCCTAGATAAGTACCACAAAATAGAGACATTTAAACTTAGCCTTCATCAAATAAGAATGATAAAAATGCAAGTAAAAATGAAGATTATTAGTCTACTCTACTCTCTAGATTCTTAAAAGAGCCTAGAATTCCACCAAGTTCTAATATCGTTAACAAGAGAAAATCATTTGCACCAGTTAATAAAAGCTTAAAGACTGGAATCAATAGGCTCAATTAAACCACAAACAATGGAGATAATGAAAATAATAACAGAGCAAAAAAGCCAGCAAATGTGAATACATAAAAAAAGTCCTCATAAAAGCCGGTTATTTCTTACAGAAATCAAAGTGAAATAATGAAAAAAATATTTGGAAATGAGTAGCATTACAATTAAGTCAAAAGCTTGTTTAGAAGGCCTGAGGACAATTATATGAGCAATAATCCTGTATAGGAAGCTTAAAAGATTTAGCCTCACTAATAAAATCAATAATACGATAAAAACAATACTAGTTAGTATCGAGCTCAAAGTACTCCTCATCATTAGCATAATAAATTGGAAGATTAGAATGCCAATTCTCAAAATAACACCAATCTCAAATAATTAAAACCTTTAAATAGTCCAAAACTCATCAAGAATGTGGACAATATATATTAAGATAAGGTGATTCTTGCAAAATCAAGGGAAAAACTTGAGTCTATTGATCATAACAGAATGTAAACATAACCCTTACCTGCTGTGAATACTGGGGCTGATTAAGTTGAAAAAGCTATATTTGACCTTTAAGATGTGAAAAATAACTACTTTTAAGAAAAATCTATGTATGATTAGAAAATTCAGCAGATTTAGATAAAATAGCAAAATTCAACAATTTACGGAAATAGTTTCCTTTAAGGTGTATAAAAAACCTAATCCAGTTTCTTTGGCCAAACAAATAGACCTATGACCTCGGGTAATTTATTTAAAAATCATTAGCTAATTAATGATGAAAATATACTTAAGAGTGACCTTGAAAAGGTATCAAAAGAGGACTTAAGAGAGAGATTAGTTGTGGCTGAGCTCGTGATGAAAAAGCTTTTTCAAAGAAATAAGGATTTAGAGGATTAGATATAAACTACCAAAGAAGAATAAAATTCTCCAAGCAAAATTTAAACTATTTCCAATGAAACTCCATTAAAAACTTAAACTAAGGATGATAATGATTCATAATTAAACAAGTCACAGATAAGTAAGAAATAAGATCATAGCCTAATCAAAGAAAATTCTACTACTAAGGACGATGCTGATGAAACAGAAAATAATTGCATGTAGTGCATTACCTTAAGAAAAGAATTGGTAGAAAAAGAAAATGAAGCTCAGCTTAAACTCAATGAGCTTTAACTTTAACTTATAAATAAAGCTAGTTCATCAAAGAATGATAATCATCTATAGTATCTCAAACTTAGATTAGATGAGACAATGAATGAAGCTAAAAGGCATTTTACTAACTATATTCAAGTTAGAAATTCCTTTAACTCATTCTTAGAAAGTAGACTCAATTAAAACTAAATCTAAGGTGGAACTAAAGGACAAAAAATATAGAATGATATTTTAAGTATGCTTAAGAAAAATCTTGAACAGTAAGAGCACATTTTTACAGATGAGTCTTAATAATTCAAAAGAAGTTTATAAAGAATTGAGGGGACCATAGATAGAAAGGACTAAATCATTATTAAAAAGGATAAAAAGATCAAAGTACTTAACGAGGAAATTGAGAGAAGATAATTCTTAGAAAGCAAAGTATAAAAATATGTAAGAGGGCTTATTGCTCAGAATCAGAAATGCAATGAGTTCATAGAATCTCTTTTAAGCACCTCTTACAATAAAAAGTAAATTGAAGATTTCCTTAGGGAAATAAAAAATAAAGATTTCGATGAGAATGAAGGGGAATCGACAGAGAATGAAGGAGATGAGCAAGGTGAAGATGATATTGAAAATGGTTCTTTAGAAATAAATGATTTATGATAATGTATATTTAGCATTAATTATATTTAATTTTACTGATTACTACTATAAATATAAAGGATGAAATAATCTAAGTTGTAGTGATAGTATATATATATTTTTATGGAAAGTAGTCATATTTAAGTTCAAATTCACTGCTGCTGCATTTAACACATTCGCATAGTGCTCTGCCTATTACAACCATCGTAATAGACTACAACAAATTTTGCCACTCTCTATCTTCTTAATTAATTTCACTGCTCTATCCATTTACAGCCTTTTTCGCCTTCATCATTGCTGATACTTCTAATTAATGAACTTTATGTTCATTTGTAGTTGTGATGGATCGTTAGGGTTCTGATCGAAATTGATGTCTTCTATCTCGATCTAGAAGGGATCTTGGACCTGCTTAAAACTATCAAGCAGGCATTATTTGTAGTTTATGGTTCGCGCGTCTAGCACAAGTTCCTAAACTTTCTCACTTTCCATTAAATAATTGTTCATCTGCTCCAACTCATCATTGTTCAACTAGTTCTACAGATAACTACTTCCTACTGCCAATAAATTTTCCTATTCTTCTTTCTTATTCTCAAACTATTTCTACTTTCCTGGCAGAGGTTCAAGTATTCCTCTAATTCTCAATAACTTCTCCACATCTAAATTAACCATTAATTCCTGGAACGCTCCTTGATTATCTTACTTTCCATTGTAGCTTGCTGTTTGGTTGGGAAGTGATCCACAAAGTTGAAAATCTATGTTATAATCTCTCCTGATGATCTATCCTAAATTACTAGAGTAGGTAGTAAATGCTCTTCCGTCAGTTTGCCATTCATTGCGTTTACACTTAGTCTCTTGCTTTATTTTTTCTCCAACTGCTTAAATGCTTCGGTCACTTACTTGGCGAAGTCTGAATCTCTATAATGGATGTTCACAACATAATGTATTAGTACTTGTTTTTGAAGTAGAGGAAGATATGAACTTAAGATATTTAGTCCCATATTGGTTTAGTAAAGGTATTTGAACTTTGCATAATTATGCATTAATTAATAATAATGCATATTAAAATTTATAATTGAACTAATCAACTATAATTAATTTTGATTAAACATTCCTCTCGAATAACAGCTACTATTATGCACAAGAACAGTTTATCAATGACAACACTGAAGAAGCTTGCAAAGCTCTTTCAAATTACTGGAGAATCAGAACAGTCATTAGAATTCGCCAGATAAAATCTTTGCAAAGCTTCAGCCTTCGAACCTTACGCATCATTCTAGAGATTGGATAGATTAAGCAAAGGTTATTTGACTCCAAGAGACTTTTTAAATTTTTTGAAGTAATATCATTCGTAAATTCATCAAAATTAGGGATAATGGCATTGATACTGCAGATGAATTCGATGCTAAATTACTCATTAACTATTTCGATGCTACAGGCGAGGGAAGACTCTTTTATACTGAGTAAGATATTTAGAATTTGATTAACGGCTAGTTATCTGCAAATTTTATTGCCATGTGATCAGCAATTTTTAAGAGCTGCTTGCACTTAGAGACCAACCTATCCAGTTGGACCAAATGAGTATCTTCCATTTGATGTAGAAAGATTATTAGCTAAACTCGTGCAAAAAGAATTGAAGCTAGCAAGAGATGCAGAAAGAATTAAATAGGAATTAGCTTCTAGGTATGATTACAGTTTAGACAGATTATTCAAAGATGTCGATGATATTAACTACAACTATGTGGACTAGCAAAATCTTAAGAGATTCCTAATTAAATGTGGGGTTTTTCCAAATGAAGCAACTCTAATTTCTATCCTGAGAAGATTTGATTTAGATGCTGATGCCAAGCTAAATAAAAAGGAATTTATTGAGGGAGTTAAACCAAGTGCAGATGATTTCTCAAAGAGACAGACCAATCAAAAGTAGACTTTAGCTTCAAGCAGAGTATTCTCACCTAAATCTAGCTAGAAGAATAAGTCATTCAGAAGTAGTAGCAAAGATGAAGAAAATAGAGGGAATGAAATAAGATCTCCAACATAAACATTTAGAGCAAAGAGCTCACTCAAGAAGAAAAGATCATCTAACAAATCCCATGCTAAATTAGGTGAGTCAAATGGAAAGGCAGATTACACTTCATTTTAAGAAAGAAGAGAAGAATAGCATGATGCAAATTAAGTCTCTTAACTAATTAGATCTCCATCCTAGAATAATTATAACACTGCAGGAAAAGAAAATTCACCATTAAGAATGAAATACCTTCAATCTTAAAACCAACTTTTGACATCCCACTTCGATGGAAATAAAAGTGGACATCACAATACGCTTAGTCCAGGTGCTTCAAGACTAAATGAGTCTCTTCACAAGAGCAGATTAAATGAATCTCAATTCACTAGTTCTAGAGCAGATTTAAGAAGTCCCCAGAGAGATAATGAAGAAGGAGAAGCCTGCTTAATATACTTGATAAGAAATTGTTTCAGGGACCTATTAGCAATTGAGAGTGGACTTGAGCTTGCAAAGAAAGAGCTTGCTTTGAGACCAGATTTCACTCTTGCAGGAGCATTCAATTTCTTCACTGGCTATAGTTAGGACAGATTGAGTTCTGACGAAATTTTCTAAGGCTTCGAGAGATTAGGAGTTGTCTGTGATATCTCAGATGTTAAGTTATATGTAGAGAGATATGATGCTGATAGAGATAATAAACTAGGTTTTTGGGAGTTTTCTAACTCACTTCTTCCAGTGGAAACCATTGTGAGAGATGATCTTGAGAGAAGAAGAGCTCAGTTTGATTTAAGCTATGAAACTAAGGAGCTGCTCAGAAGAACTTTCAGAAAGTTAATAGATGCTGAGACTATGATCGAAAATCTAAGACAAAGAATTGCAAGAGAGCAATCAGTTTCATTGAGAAAAGCATTTGACCAGATTGACTGGCTTGGCAGAGGATTCCTGACAAATAATGAGTTTAAGAGATCATTTGAAAACTATGGTCAAAGAATGTCCTCAGCTTCTTTATCTCAATCAATTGTGCTCAGATAAGACTAGATTGAATTAGAGTCACTTATTAGAAGGTTCAATAAGGACAAGCTTAACGGAAGAGTTTCCTTACCAGAATTCTTAGAGGAACTTACTCCCAAGAATCCATCCAAGGTCTATTGAAACACTTAAATGCCTCATCATCTTATTGATTTTCTCTGATTATTCTTCAAAAATTTGAATCTAGAGATGAACTACTATTAAATTTTCTAAGTTAACTTGTTTTATAATGAGATAGATAAGTTATGATCTAAGTTTTAAATTCTATATCTTCTTTAAAATTTTCTTTAATTAATATTATTATAATTGTAATTATTACTCAGAAAAAATAATGTTTGCAGGTGTTCATGCTGTAATATATTTGAGAATTCAAAATTAAAATATCTGATATAGGATTACCAGCCATACCAGTAGCAATAGCAAGCTCTTCTATTGTAAATGAGGGTGAAGTAAGTATAGGAGCTGTGTTCTTTTTTCTAAGGAACAGAACCTATGCAAAGTAATGATAATAAGATTATCTACAGAATTCCTTTGTAGCTTGCTGTCTCAAAAACTCCATTGTACATCAGAGTGTAAGACTTTAAACAAATAAGATTCCCAATTTTAGTGAGTTTCCTCCCCTTTACCCCTCATAAGCACCTTTTATTCAAGTTCTAGCAAGAGTAATTCATCAAGATTTGCATCCATAGACTAAACACTACTAAGGCAAGATGATAAGGGAGTGGGGAATTCATTCTACCATTTTAAATGTTATGAGATAAATTCATGCCGAATTTAATCTAAATCCTCCCTTACCAGAATCCGTTAATCAGCCATAAAATTAATAGCAAATGTTGCAGCAAGTTTAACCTCAATTTAATCATATTTAACCACAGAATCAGAACATGTAGCATTTAAAACTCAACAGTATGAATCAATAGTAAGAAGAAAGAATATCAGAACAGGATGCAATTAAACTATAAAAGATGAAATCTATTAATAAGGTCGAGGACAAATTGAAGGAGCTAGTACATCCACCCACTAAACAGCAATTTATGAATGTGCTTAATAATCTCAGCTATGATGAACTTAAGGAAATGAACGAGAATGAATAATACCTGTATAAAATTATTGCATTAAATAAATTATAGGAGAGATTTTATGGTCGAAAGGGACGAGTTCTTGAAATTTGACAAGGAAGTTGATGGGATCGCTGATAAGGCTGAGATAATAGCCAATGAGAATATAAAGAAATACGACGAACTACAGAAAGCAATGGATGAACACCAAAAGCTCATAAATGCCTACAACATCAAAAAAGAAAAATTAGTCTTAGGTTAGAGACAAATCGAAGACTTAAAGTCAAAGGTACATCCTAGAGAGCAAGCTAAAGAAATTGAGAAGGAAGCAACTAGTCTGTCAAAGCAATCTGAAGTAATCAGAAAATAATTCAAGGATGGTTCTCTTAACACTAAAGATTTTATTGATAGTTATATTTCATCTAGAATCAAATACTACGAAGCTGAATATATTAAGTAGCAATTAGTAGCTATGGGCAATAATTATTAATGATCAACATAAGAAAATATTAATAACTAATTTTGATTCCACTCTTTTAATGCTTGTTTTACCCATCGGGGTTTTGGGGTTTTGGGGTTTTGGGGTTTTGGGGTTTTGGGGTTTTGG